CACAAAATGCGGGGGTGAAACGCATTTCCGGTCTGCCATCAAGCGAGCATCGGACTGTATTACCATCATACGTCTCGCTAAATTATTTCCGCGTAAAATTTGAGACGTGCAGAATCAATTAACAGACATTCTAATTTTTACAAATTCATTCATTGAATAAATCTTCACATTAGAATTATTAATATTTCTTGTAGTATTTTAATATTAATTTTCGGTGCTTTTTAGTATATAGCATTTTTTGTTCGAATACCTTTTCTATTACTTATAATTTTTTTATTATTAAAGATATATATTTCGATTTTGAAAATAAATTTTTTTTAGAATATGTTCATTTTTTTAAAAGTTACAGACAATTGAATTAGTTAGCTATGCCAATACCCAAATGTGTTGTTCCCATAATGTGCACCAAAGGATTACTATATTAACATATATAATTATTTATAATATATCAGTAATATATTGATTGCAATATTAATGTGAAAATTATACTAAATATTTATCTTAGCTAAATTTGCAATCGAGGTTGCCTAAAATATTTATCTTCAAAATTTCTGGAACACCTTACATAGAAGGAAATAATTCACATCCAACTATCTTGAAATCTTTCTTCACATTTCCAGTTCATCGTCCAAATAAATTGTCGTGATTAATCCTCCGAGAGATCCTTTCCAATTAAAATGAAACAAAAAATCGTATATTTTACTCGACACATTTTTATAATAAGTAAAATTATGATACACAGCAGCTGTCTCCCTACTTCTCCATGACAGGCTCTAAGTTAATCTTCGTGACCTACTTCTCGGAACTTTCGCGTTCGTTAAAAAATCAGGTCCTTGTGACGAAACTGTCAGAGATCAAGCGAGACAAAAGCTGGAAGTTGAGAACTAGTAAAGGGAGGATGGGGAGGCATCACGCGCGCTGATAACGCACTTCCCATTGACAAATCGCACTGTGAACCCAGCTCTCCTGAAACCGGATGTCCGTATGATCTCATATTCAGATATCCGTTCTCTCTCTCTCTCTCTCTCTCTCTCTCTCTCTCTCTCTCTCTCTCTGCTTGTATATCCCTTCTCAAAATTTCTGCGGTATATATTCTAGCATGTGCAACGTCTATGACGTCGTATCCATTCCTTCATTTCCTTCTGGCCTCCTTTCGCATCCAGCTTTATCTCATCGGTGCTCAACAGTTTCGGTTTTTGAAATAACCAAAATAATTTCCACAATAATTTAAAATCCCCAAATTAATTAAAACTAATTTAATCCGAAAAGTCCCATCTTTATAAAATATATAAACTTTAATACATATAATGAAATTTTGTTTATAAAAACTGAGTGACCTAAATCCGACTATATTATTAATAATTTATGTAATATTTAAATTATAACTTATTTCATAAATTTATATTAAAAATATTTAAATATTATATATGTAATAAAATATAATGAAATACATTTCCCTCAATTAAAATTTTTATTTCTTTTCTGTCTCTCTCTTCTCACACTTTGTAATTTCTACTATATTAAAGTTGTATAATCTAATTTTATATAATCGAGCTTCTTTCATACATAATGTAATTTATCTACAACAAACAAAATTGCACTCAAGTTGCGCTTCTAAAATTTTGATTACGTTGGCATGGGTGACATCAATTTCATGAAAGTATGTGACAACTTCTTCTTACCAAGAGAAAATATCAGTATCTTATATCCATTGTATCCCATTTACAGATACAATGTTTGATTCGACCGTGTCATACCGGGTTTCCCCTTTCGTTCACACCAGGCAGCAGCTATCCAATCAATACCAGCCTTTAAAAGGCATCTCATATCAATTTTGTATCGAGCATGCCCATAAATGGCATCTCCCGTCCACCGCCATGCTTGTTCTACAGCGCCATGATATTGACTTATGAATATATTATCAACAATGGATTTTTTATGAAATTTTTATTAAACGTTAGAACGAGATTTTCTCCGTTCCAATCTTTTATTTGAGTTAATAGCATATTACATAACCTGTAACTCATTTTATTTTTACAAAACGAAATTTTATTTTTGCAACGTGAGAGAACATTTTCAAGGCCATCGCTTAAACACATTTTATTATTACATTACCCCGTTACATTACCGGATATATTTGTATGATACACAAAGCATTATTAGTTTTATAATGTAGATTTTTATATCGCACAACTTTTTAATTGCTAATCCTCAGTCGCTGTTATAATGTTTGTATAATCGGACACGTTTCTTACATCTTACGCAAGAGGTCAACTGATAACGACACCCGTTTTGAACACAAGTTACGCGTAGAACACAAGTTAATACGCATTTATGCGTAGACATTTATGCATGATAAGCTCAATGGCGTCTGAGTAGGGAAAAAATTTCGTACTGCGTTGTAGCTATATTTTAATTCATCTATAACTTTATTTGTTCGTATAATACAATATATCTTAATTTTTCGACCAAGTAGAATAGCATTCCGTATGTATTAATTTATTTAATTTTTAAAATAATTAGTAGTACATTTTTTAGTAACTAAATATGTGTTAATCCTTCTGTAATATGAAATTTTCACCCTTCATCCGCAGCCTGAATCTTCGAACTTCAATATTGTTTCGGACGTATATTATATACAAAAATCTGAAAAATTATTTACATATTCGTGAAAGTTTTAATAACAAATTTTTGCTGTCATGGAAGTTGAATTGTATTTTACTTATTTTTTGCAGATTTAGATTTATCTATCAAATTCAAACAATAAAAAAATCAACTGCGCCTTTAAAGTCCAACATTACTAGCAGAGGATTGATTAAAACGCAAATTTAATGATTCCTTAATTCTTTTGAAAAGTTCTAACAATTAAATTATCCAATTCCTAAAACATTCAGTATATTTACAACTAAATTTTATTGTAATGTTATATTCTTATGAATGTAATTTACAAATTTATGCTCCCTTGCATGTAACTTCACAGTACTTACTAGTAATATTGTCTCCAATTATAATGAATGTCTTATTTTGTTGTTATCCAATTTGGTACTTAAATTGGATAACTGATATATACGCATACGCTTAATAGTGATAAGCAATGTCGCCCCACGATAAGCTTCTAAAAAACAAAATAGAGAAGGATGTTGACAAAGCTTCTAAGAAATGACAAGCAAATTATGTCATTAAAACGTAATGCAGATTAAATTACAACGCATGATCGCTTATTTAAAACTCTAGTTTTTATTTAAATGTCTAAACAGTATTCACAAGTTATCACGCGCAAAAGCTATCACGCATATTTTTTTACATTAACCGAAAGCTATCATAGTAATCGAAAATGGAGTTCTCATTTTCTGTAAATTTATTCTTTCTCTTTCTGACGAGAAGAATTTAATTTCTGATAATTATTGTATTATATCTCGCATAATAAAAGCAATAATAATTTTTAAAATGAAGTCCTGTCGTTTTATTATAATACATTTTACAGTTACGCATTAAAAAATCTAATCAGTTTTTATCGATTGTTTTATTCTTTTAGTTTTATTTTAACGATTGTAAGCGAAAGTTGTTAGACGTTAAAGTTTTATAAATTTTTTTCAATCTCGCATAAAACACCCAGTTCTTCTAAGTGTGCTTTCTTTGACGAGAGCTTTCTTCTTGCGAATTCTCATCGAAAGTATCGGACATTTGTGACGAATACAACAGTACCTTTGTGAAAGGATTCGCGTAAATTCTCGACGAATGCAATAAACACGTTAAAACTCAAGAGGAACAAGTAATGACGCTGTAACCACACGCAACATTCGAGCAAGATGTTTAATGCAAATACGCCGCGTAAAAGCCGACGAAAAGCAGTAAAATCTACCTGTTTAGCGTCTACTACAAGTATATTTCTTGCGAAAATTAGCAGAAATGTACCTTACCTAGTACTTTCTTAACGGTCAAAAGGAACAAGTTTTGCTTTCTTAATTAAGTTTTCCAGAGAACGTTCATTATTAAATTGAAAATTTATTTTACTTATTTATTTTTATATGTTTTTTTATACTCCCATGCCTTGTTTTCTGATGATATACATTCTCTTCAATTACCACGCATATCCAGTTACATCTAATTTATTACATTTCGAATCTATTTATTACATTTCGAAAAGAAGAAATAATATAGCACAAGAAATAAAAATTCCAAAATTAGCAATAAGCAACATTTGCAAATTTTTATCTGACGTTAAAGTTCCGTAAATGTATATTCCGTAAACATATATTTCTCTGATGGGGACCGTGAATGTTTGTGTTGGATGTTGGACGAGATGAGATGAGAAATGTACGCCGGGTTGTGTAAACGATGAAGAGAAAATACCTTGACGCATCGTTAATTAGGCGAGAACGTGCCCAGATGTAGTTGCACAGCCGCCCTTTAACCAGCTCGAAGTGAAGCGCGGTGGATGTCATCAACGAGATGCATTTACGCTCTTCTGCATACGCACGCACTTACATACGTATTTTGCATACGCACTTTCCAGGTTCTCCGACACCCGAATGAGAATGTCGCGCTCTTCGAATTACAACGGCGTCGTCGCGACGACATGATTCGGACGACCTCCTTCCGAATCAAGGATACGACGCAGTCATATCTGCAATTGCAACAATGTTACGAGATGTACTTGAGTGCGGCGATGGTCAAGTTAATCATAATTGAGAGCGCGGAGATAATAGAGATCAATCGTAAAAGCGTTCGGTGATTAGTCTGATATTTTCAGTTTCGAAGTATTATTAGATTCTCTGAAATACAAGCCTAAATTAATATAAAATAATAATATGATAAATCGGATTATTTTATTAAATGATAACGGTCGAATTAATTAGCTTTATATTTTAATATGAAACAATTATTAATTAACGTTGATATGATTTCAAGCACGATACTAGCAATATATTTATATCTACATTAATAATAATTGAAAATCGTAAAAAAATCAGACATTATTTTCTATTTCTTCTGTTTAGGGCGACGATGGTATACAAGGATTTATGGGAGCCGCAGGACTTTCCGTACGTATATTAGCTCATGCTCTACCATCTTTCGAAGTAAATCAAAGTCTGCAAAATTAGAGTATATGTGTGTGTGTTCCAACATTTATTTTAATAATTACATATTGTATAATATGCATTAAATTTTGTTGTCTCTATATTAGTATCTATATTATCCCACACACAGAGTAAATCTTAAGCAATATAAAATAAATTCTAATCATTTTTTTTAAACAAACAGTATGAATATGTAAATAAAATCTTAATTAAAAAATTCTCTTTACTCTATACTTTTTTTGGTTTCTTTCTGTATTATAAGAAAGAAAAGATTGAAGTCATGAACTTCTTGCATTTCTGAATTAAATTTAGTGAATTTTCAAGCTGAATTTAGTCTAATGTTTTACGTTTCTTTCTTATACCTTTAAATGTAAAAGAATCATTCAGAGGGACTGTAGTAAGCATTCCTTAGGGTAATCCTGGTGTATCCGGTGTGATGGGTCCAGATGGACTGGACGGATGCAACGGAACCGATGGTCGTGCTGGTGCACCCGGTATACCCGGAGTTTTCGGGCCTCGTGGTGTACCAGGTCCCTCGGGCGATTATGGTTTCCCGGGAGAGCCGGGTGATGGAGGTATAAATTCGGTCGGTGCCAAAGGAATTCGCGGTAATCCCGGTATCGATGGTTTGGAGGTAAGAATTCACATTTAACGTGAAATATGTGCCACATTTAATGTGAAGTATATTATTTAATAACTCGAACGTTTAAAATCATATTTTAATAACGATGTTTACGCTATCAAAATAATTCAGTATCTAAATATTTATATTATTCATTTTCATGCAACATCAATTTACCGATAAAAATTCAGTGCAATAATACAATAAATTAAATTAACAATTATATCATAATATTATATTATTAATATTTATGTGTGATGCAATTATTCTTTTTCATTCTCCGTAATTGAATCTTAAATCAGTAGTAGTGCATATTGTACACTAATTATTTAAATTTATAAACTTTTCTATATATACAAGTATATATATCTACACACATATATAATTGATTTATAAATATATTTATAAATATATTTTAACATTTAATCTACATTTATATCGATAATTTCTTGTAATTGAAATTGATCTCGTCATGAGTTTATTATATCAGTACATAATATATACTAGAAAGAATTACCATATAATAAATACACTATTTCTAAAATTATCGCGGATTAATTCCGCCGTAACTGCACTCGTAGCAATCATTAGTCGTTCTAAGATATGATTGCGTTTCCAGGGTTATCGAGGACAGCAGGGGCTCACCGGCGAGATGGGTTATCCAGGAGACACAGGCGACTTTGTAAGTAATAACAGAAGCACGCTTGTTTATCCCACGGTTGTTTAAGGTACCGTAACACCGGTCGATCGGTGCTGACTCTCGAGGGCCGGTGAACTCTCGCGCGAGAGTTTAGATAGATCCCTGAAGAACGGATATGAAGGAGGAAAACGAGAAGGAAGAGACAAGCTCGACAGTCCGACTCTCGGGACGGCTTTCGTTCCTTTTTGCGAAACGCCACCTGCTCACATGAAATATCATTTGCTGGTCCAAAATATTCCCCAGCAATATGTAACGGGGTACCGAGTAAAGAGGAAGAAAAGAAGCGGAAAGAATCCGAAAGAATTCTGCGCGAGTCGCGATTTCCGTCGCGCGATAAGCACCGCTCCAAGGAATCCTCTTACACGCCGTCGAGTTAAAAGTCACCTCTGAACACGAACGCGAATGCACATTCGGGCTTAAGTAAAAATGCGCAATACTGGTCGAAATAAATGTTCACGCTCTAAAAGAGGAATAATTTTCGTGTGTCTCGAATTCGTATGTTACAGAATGATTAGAAAATTTTTTTTCAAGAATAGTTAGAAAAAATCGAACACCGTAAGAATAAAAAAGTATTAATTTTAATTGTCACACATATGCTAATAAATTTCTTTATATTATCTTTCTTTATTTTAAACGTTTACATAGAAAGAATGATTTTGCTGAAGTATCTGAAAATTTAGTTAAAGCATAAGTTATGACACAACAAAATTATTTTCAGATCGGTATAAATTTTATACTTCAGCAAAACCGTTCTTTCATTGCAGAAATAATCGGAGATACTAGAATAGAAATACAAGAATTTAAAATTCTTGAATATGAAAGGAAAGATTAGTATGAAAAAGTAACTTATAAATTAGAAAGAGAATTAATTAAATTAAAAATAGAAAGACATATTCGTTAAAAAGAAGGAAATGGATGGTAGATTTGCAATCTAGAAAGAATAGGGCACCGTTTCTCTTAAATTACAGCTGTGCGATACGAAAAGCGCGATATGGTAATGTAACGTATGCCGCAAGTATTTCGGTTCGTATAAACCAGACGACGGAACTTTACGAGATTCTTAAAGCGTATAGAGCTAGATGCGATGGCCACTCGAAAGTTATCTGCACCACTTGTATCCGTAGTATTCCAAGTTACGCCCGTAGGGTTGAATTACGTGCGCAATGTTACACGTATCCCCCGAGGCACAAGGAAAGCCTTTTTGCTCAAAAAGAAAAGGTTTAACGTTTTCAGCACGTGTACTTACTAGTGATACAGCCGCTTATCAGCTACTTTCGTGTAGGAAGCGAAGCTTTCTTCTTGCTTCCAATTTAATTGACACAGCTAATTATCGAACGAAGCGATAGAGACTCTTCTCTCGGAAGATTCACAGCTCCGGTAATGAAAGATCACAGAGAAAAGAGCTTTTTTCAATGTATGACAAATCAATCAAATTCAGGAAAAATTATTGTTAATTCTTAACGATTCTTTCATCTTAGAGAAAATTATTTAACATGTAACGTGCGGATTTCGTGTTTCGTTTTTTCACCGAAAACTTATTTTTCTTCTTCACCTTTTGATGTTATTCGGATGGCATATCCGACTGTTTCTTTTACTTTATATCTTATAACTTTAACTTTTTTATTAATAAAGATACATTTGGTTTTTACCATTATATTTCTTAATCTGATATTTAAAAAAAAATTGATTATAATATGCTCATTTATATGCAATACTTTTACTTAACATTCAGTATGTTATATATGTGACAAAATTTATAGTGTGACATTAAAAGATTAATATTTTTATACCGAGGCATGCATTGCAGAAAAGAAGCTATCTTTTTCTCATCATTTTATGTATCAATCCTTTCGTTTTAAAGGAAATTTTTATTTATTAAGAAAATTATTTTCATCATTTAATATCAAAAGAGGCGGTAGTGTCTCGCGCCAAGTGAATACATATATCTAACTATAATATAAACTTTGTATTGTAATATAAATTTTGTGTTGTATCAATTTTGTATGTATACATTATTTTTCGTGAACAATTTATCTTTCTTCTTAAAATTTTTCACCGAGTCGCGTACTGCAGAAAAAAGTTATTTCTTCGTCGGGATTTTCTAGAAATAACTTCAACTGTGTCGGCTTGAAAGTAGTGCCAAGTAAATACGCGAAGAGAATAAAGAAAAGAAAGTATTAAAATGTGCGAGGACTTCGTACTTAATCGCTAAATACGAAACGTTGAAATCCGAAGCGTTGCGTCCGTTGTCAGCTGCTATCTGCTGACACGACTGTCGCTGATAGCACAAGAGTCCGTCTCTTCGCACGAGATGACGAAGGGAAGATTTTACCCGGCGAACAACGGCTTCCGAGAAACTTGACTTCTCCTTCTTGAAACTTGACTTCTCTCTCTCCCTTGGCAAAAGTCGGCTACACCTTTCGCGCCATTAAGGAAGACACAATCGGCTACCGAAAACCGGTTCTTTCATTGTCAATGCGTTAATCGTACACGCTGCACAATTGCATGGATAATTTTTTTATGGTGATGGCACGAACTTCGAGTCGGCACCTTTTCTCTCGTACAAACGGAGGGCGGATCGACAGTTAATTCGACAAACTGCGATAACGAATTTCCGTCGTTTCTTAAGAAAGAGATTGAATGGTTCACCGTTCACCCAAAGATTGAATGATTCATCATTCGTCCGAAGATTAAATGGTTCATCATTCATTCACGTTCGTTAATTTTGACGTATCGATATAATTCTAATTATATCTTAACATATATTATTCTCTATTTATTATATATTTTCCACTTGTAATTTAATAAGAGCTTGTCACATAATGAGATAAATTTTCCAGTGTCGTATTATCATTAATTATAAAAGTAAATTTTATATAATTGCATCTGCTATTTAAAATGCTCCTATTAATTACATATAATCACGGAGTCAAGGATCAATAATTTAAAAATATCATAGAATAAAATTTAAATCAGTATAAATTACGTAGGTATATTAATTTATAAAAAATTATTTAGAATTTCTTTATAGCAATCGAGAGGGCCTGATCTAAAGTAATTTATCATAGCGTGGCAACATTTTAATCTTATTAGAAGCAATAGTAATAATTGAAATATTCCCGTAGATCTAATCAACTGTATTAATAAAAGCAACATATTATGCTTTGCATCGTTTGAAGTAGTCTTGTAAAGTCCGCGTGTCTGTAGTAGCTCCATTTTGCTCGGAGTAAAAATAAACAGGGATGGACCAGGACGTGCACTTAAATTAGCATTATAATGGACTCATAATACATGCACTTACGCTCTGCCACGCTAGATGTAACTTCAGCGTAATGCGTATGTAATATATAGGCAGAACCGACAGAACTACATCAAAGTATACCGGGTGTCTCGAGGGTATCGCGCACGATCGCACGGTTACAAGTCTCTTGACGAGTTTTGGCTTGATTAGTTAAACGAGAAACTGGTAGTTTCAGTGTATTTCAGCGTACGCTGATTCAGGAGTGAAGGAAGACCTGATACTTAACTCTGATCTGTTCCGATCTATTTAACTCAAAATGTAATTTATTTTTCTTACCAAAATTTTATTTAATTCTTTTCTCTGGTATTTGATGACTTTGTCTGTTAATGTAAGATCTTTTTTTGTGAAATTTTTTATTTTTTATGTTTTATAGTTTTTTTAATTATATTGACCCAAGCAATATGATCGTATAATAAGTTTGAACAAACTAGTAGAGTTAAATGTATACTTGAACATATTCTTTAATAAATAAAGATATTAAAATATATTTTACGATTTTTTTTTAAGAATAATAATGTTAAGATATAGCTTTTGCAAAGCAATGTTAATAATATTTATCAAAAATTAATTCATAAGATAAACACAGATTACGTATTAATGAAGCGAATTAACAAGTTACATTAATTAAGTACGATAAAGTGGAAAAGATATTTGTATTCTCTTAGGGTTTACCAGGTTCACCTGGCTTGCCAGGTATGCAAGGTGAACGCGGTGACACAGTGTACGGTGTGAAAGGTCAACTTGGCGAACAAGGAGACAGGGGAGAGTCTGGATCACCAGGTAAAGATGAGTACAAGAAGACGGAACATTCGTTGCCTGTGAAAGGACCGCAGGGTGCAAAAGGCATGAAGGGTTTCTATGGTGATCGAGGTCGCAAGGGAGAATTTGGCGCCAAAGGTCCACAGGTAATTGCTGTATTAAATGTGATCATAAAATTGTTAATATACATTCGGAATAATATAAATAATATAACTGCACTCTCTATGAAAGGTTACAAATATAAAAAATATATTATTAATAAGAAATCAAAAACTGTGCTCGTGACATAAATAATACGATTGTTTTTTTTTTGCGTATTAAAATATTTTAATTAAATATTGTGACAGTAAATAGAATGCAATTCTTATTTAGGGTCGACCAGGATTCTTGGGTATCAAAGGTATAAAAGGTGAACAAGGTGATGATGGACCAAGAGGTAAACAGGGTGTCGGGGGTCCGCCAGGTCCGGCTGGTGAAAAGGGAGAGAAGGGAGCTCCAGGATTTGCTGGAATGCCTGGTCCGGATGGAGATGATGTAAATAAAATATTTGACTTTATATATAAAAATAATTTCTGACACATAAAATTGTTAGTTTTTCTTTTTTTTGTTAAGTTTCAAATTTTAAATTTAAAAAATTTGTAAAATTTACATAAAAAAGATTTTTTATATCAGCTGTATGTGCATATGACGATTTAGTTCTTAATTGTTATTACTTAAAATTATCAATGTGCATTGTAATATTTTTAGTAACATCAAATTGATTAATAAATATTTAAAGAGTTGTGTATGGTAGTATTAGATATATGAAATTAGATATATTGCATTATTTAATAATTATTAAATAAAGGGAGAACCAGGGGAAGAAGGAAATCGTGGTCCACCTGGTAGACAAGGAGCTGAAGGAGAACCTGGACAATACATTCCAGAACTTGATGAGATAATCGCTGGAAATATCGGGATCCAAGGAGATCTTGGTCAGTGGACATTCAATATTCTCTTTTCTAAAGATATTAATATATTATATTATTACACAAATAAATATTTAATATTTATTCGTGTCAATTATATTAATAGATATAATTATTTTATATCTTTTTTTTTTTTAAGCGAAAAATGATATTACATATAATACTTCCAACAAAAATTGCTGAAGATTAATACCTACTCATTTTCATCTAGGAAAAACTTTTTGCAAATCAATTTTGTAACTCAAAGTTTTTGTTTCTTTCAGGTCCCCCAGGCGAATCAGGCGAAACAGGAACACCGGGTTTGCCAGGAAAGGTCGGCTTCATAGGACCGCCAGGACCACCAGGACTTCCAGGTAACCCTGGTTTCGCAGGAGCGAAAGGCTCGTCTATAAAAGGAGAACAAGGAGATGATGGTAATTTGTTTTCTATATTTATTGTTTTATATCAATAATCGTTTTATAGCAAATGTCATGAATAATAATTGGCTATTTATAAATTATTCCAGGCTTACCAGGACCTGTGGGACCTCAAGGATCTTCCGGATTACCCGGCTTACCCGGAATTATGGGTGCCAAAGGATTTCCGGGAGTAACGATAACTGGACCGCCGGGACCAGATGGCAATCCAGGTCTTCCAGGATTATCAGGCCCGCCTGGCGATCGCGGTGATCCTGGTCCTCCAGGTAAACTTAAAATTTATATTAGTCAAAAAAATACTAAAAATATTTATATACATATATATAATATATAAAGTTACATATAATATAATGTTTATGTATTATATATAAAGAACATTATTTAAAATTTAAAAAAATGAATAAAATTGTAAGACCAAAATGTATTTTATATATTTTTTATTATTAATTCTCTTAGTATCAATTTAATAATTTTACTCATAAATAGTTTTTAATCATAAATAATTACAATTGTTAAACAGGAGAAAAAGGTTTTCCTGGAAAAGGAATAAGAATTCGTGGCCCACCTGGAGAACGTGGTCTACCTGGAACACCTGGTATTTCTGGTCCTGACGGCTGGCCTGGCTTTACCGGCCCTAAGGGTGCCAAAGGTATTCGAGGAGATGACTGTGGCGTATGTGCCCCAGGTAAAAATTAACTGTAATTTATAAAGAATACTTATATGAAAGAATACTTATATAAAAGAGACATTTGAAAGAAAAATCAAGATAATAATTTATTACTAAGATGATAATTACTTATTTTATTTTAATTATTGTACAGGTTTGCCTGGTGAGAAAGGACAACGTGGTGAATCTGGTTTGGATGGATATCCTGGAACTACGGGATTTTCTGGACTACCCGGTCCTCGAGGATTGAAGGGAGTACTAGGAAAGCGAGGTCTGCCAGGACCAGCGGGGCTTGAGGGTGATAGTGGAAGACCCGGTATTGCGGGAGTTCAAGGACCCAAAGGAGAACAAGGAAAGATATTCTTCCCACCAGGTGAGATTATTGTAAGTCCACCGGGTGACTTCGGTGAGAAAGGCTTACCTGGCCCCGAAGGAATCAGAGGTCTACGAGGACAACCAGGACCTATTGGCGACACTGGTGTACCGGGACCTAAAGGAGATAAGGTATATTTTTTCTTTTACTTTTATAAACATAATTATTTCTCCGCGAAAAAAAAAAAGATTTGTCAAATATTTTGTAAAATATGATTTAATTAACCCTTACCCTATTAGTACAATTTGGTGCCCCATCCATACTAACGGGGGCACTAGAATCCGTCTTTTACATCTCAGAATGATTCAAAAAATCTAAAAATTCACCAACATACTTTCAGCTTTCTAGAATAAATATTGGCACTTCATTTTAAAAAATAATAAAACGCGTAATATAATTTATAATTACTGAAAGACTCAAAGAAACCTGCACGAGCAGGAATCGCTCGGTGACTAGTGACTCTCCTTAGTAGGGTAAGGGTTAATAATTTAATTTTTAATATAAAATTCAGTTATTCAGTTTAGTATCAAATTTTTCAATCGCACAGGTTATTAATTATTATTTTCTCATTTATTCTAATTTGACAATATTTTTTATTATATAGGGTGAACATGGTTTTCCTGGATTATCGGGAAAAGACGGTTTGCCAGGATGGGATGGTATTCCTGGCGAAAAGGGTGAAGATGCTTCGATACCAATCGAATTCTTACGCGGAGATCCAGGATATCCGGGAGAAGAAGGAATCAAAGGAATACAAGGAGATAAGGGTAATAAAGGAGAACCTGGTGTGTCTGCAGAATATATCGCAGATAGTCAAGGTGACAAGGGCTACAAAGGTGCTAGAGGAGCTCCTGGTATGTTAAATTTAAAGATTTCTTAAGATATATATTAAAGAAAAATCTTTGAAAATTATATTTCTTTGAAATATAATATATATATAACATAAATATTAATAAACCCTCTAACAAAAAGTTAAAATAAATGTAAAATAATATTATTTATAATTGGTCACTAATCGTTAAAAAAATTTTCTTCTAAAAATCGCATAAATTATATAATTATACAGACTAATTTATATTTATTTTTATTTATACAATTATATAATTATATTTATAATATATATAAGTATATTATAATTTGTATAAAATTTGACATTTTTTAATTACAAAGGAATTGAATATTTAAAAATGAGACGAATTAGTTTCTGTATTCTCGTAGGCGAGAATGGTTTCAAAGGTTTCGAAGGACGTCCTGGCGATGAAGGTCTACTAGGATTGCCTGGTGAGCCAGGTTCTCCAGGAATTTCGCTTCAAGGTTCTGTAGGTTTGAAAGGATACCCCGGAATGCCAGGAGACCAGGGACTTCGGGGCACGCCAGGCTCACCTGGATTACAGGGGCCAGTAGGTTTTCCGGTAAGTAAATTGAACTGGATAATTTTCATTTTGACAGTTTAATATATAAATATACATACGTCAATAAAAAAATAAATATACATACGTCAATAAAAAAATAATTTTATTCATTGTTATTAAATTCTACGTTTAAGAGAAATAATGAATGCAATTGCTTATTATAGGGTCGCATCAGCAATAAAGGTGAACGAGGAGAACCAGGATCAAATTTAACATATGGTGAAATTGGGGAACGCGGGTGGTACGGTCCAAAAGGTGATTTTGGTGATGCTGGTCCACAAGGATTACGCGGTCGATTGGGAGAAGATGGTGTGAAGGGTATCAAGGGTGCTAAAGGAGCACCTGGTTACGAAGGATTGTCTGGACTTGAAGTAAGTACATGCTTATTCATTTTTATGAAAATTGTTTCAAAGATTAATTAACTCTATGAAATTGGTTATCTTTTATAAAATATCTACGGATGATATACATTAAAGTAATCAATTTGATGGATTTAGGGAGCCAAAGGTCAACATGGAGATAGTATACAAGGTGACCGTGGATTCCCGGGCCAACCTGGAATGCCCGGAATGTCCGGAAGAATCGGAGACGTCGGTATCCGTGGTAAGTATTATATCAAAAATTTAAAACCTAAAGTAAATTATTCTATAAGGTGAATTATATTAAATAAAATTAAATGATAAATCAAAGAAAATCAAATTTTATCTCTTAAATCGATTCACTTTGCTGCACTAGAAATTTATCATTCTATGTCTATAGAATGATTTGGATAAACTAACTTCGCGTCATAGTATTAGTTCACAGTTTAATCTTTGTATTGAAAATAAAAAAACATAATGCAAATTTATTTTCAGGCCCTGATGGTCCTTCTGGTTTTGATGGAATGAAAGGCCTGAAAGGAGAAATTGGTTTTATCGGACGACGTGGTGACGATGGCGATATGGGACCTCAAGGATATCAAGGGATGCATGGTGCACAAGGTCTACCGGGTGCTCCAGGAGAAAAGGGTGATGTCAGTGAGAGTGGCGATCCGGGACCACGCGGTTGGCCTGGATCCGAGGGTATAGACGGAGCACCCGGTTCTAAAGGACAGGTGGGAGACGCCGGAGTTCCTGGTTTCCCAGGAGTGCCAGGCTCGCCTGGATTCAAAGGTATCACTGGTGATACTGGTCTCGAAGGATTACCGGGAATCTCTGGCGAAAACTCCTTCAGCGGTCCTCAAGGTGACGCGGGTGAACATGGTTTTATGGGAGAACTTGGACCGCCCGGTCTGGCTGGATTTGACGGGCGACCGGGTTTACCGGGAGAACCGGGATTAGCCACTGACGGTTTCAATGGTCTGCAAGGACAGAAAGGTGAACCTGGATTCGACGGATACAATGGTAGGGAGGGACCAAAGGTAAGTCCATTTTCTTTTTACGAAGAAACTGTTTTCTCAAAACAAAATACTTTTAAGATACAAAAGGCAAGATATTATTTTTACTCTGCCATGTATATGGTAAAAAAGTTTGCATATTATATTCAAATTAACATATAATATAATTTATCTTTATAGGGAGAAATTGGTGATATGGGTCCTGATGGATTAAAAGGCGAACAAGGTGAGCAAGGCTTCCCAGGAAGACCAGGCACGCACGGAATACCCGGAAGATATGGTGCAAAAGGTGAAAGAGGCCTGGTTGGACCACCTGGATTCGATGGTTTGAAAGGAAAATCAGGTCTCGATGGTGATCCGGGTATAATGGGTAGACCAGGTAAATATGATAATCAGCATTCATTTATCTTTATCAATTTAATTATATATTTTGATACTTTTATATTTTATAATCAGCACTTATTTTTTTTAGTTTATATTTAATATTTATAATCAAAAAAGATAAAATGTTGTATCATTATTTGATTAACGAATTACAATACGTTTTGCGTCAGGAATGCCGGGTGAACCAGGTGTGAGAGGATTCCCAGGTCTTATGGGTGCTCCTGGACCGAAAGGTCATGTAGGTGAACCTGGTTTACCATCTTACGCGTTCGCAGAGAAGGGTGATTTTGGTAATCGCGGTCACGATGGTTTCTCTGGTGTGAAAGGACAACCAGGCGAACCAGGATATATTGGCGTACCTGGTCGTAAGGTAAATGAACAATCTAAGTTGGACATTCCAATTCTTCAACTTCGGGAGAAATTATTTATTTGTCCATTATAGGGTCAAATTGGAGACAGAGGATATTCAGGTCCTGACGGTTTGCCAGGATTACCTGGTTTCCCTGGTCTGCCAGGTGATCAAGGACTTCGCGGAGTTCCAGGTATATATACAATATACTATAATCAATATGAGTAATGTTTAATTTTAACCTACTCCCTTTTACTCTTGTATGAATTTATTGAAATTGTATTGTATACAATATAATTCTTTAATTTTTGTTAATACATAGAGTTTTCAGTTTCTCTCTATTCAATATGTTAAAAATAATTATTCTACTCTCTCTTTGTTTCATAAAATTTTGTCAAAATTAATAGTTAGAATATATAATGAATCTTTTTAAGTTCGTAAGTTAAGAAAATTAATGCCATTCTGATATAGTTTTGTTTTATTATAGTTTCTATAATATATCTTCACATTCTAATTTTGCTAATAAAAATCTACAAACATCTTTCTTATTTCAAACTTGATATTTCATCTCATTTAATATCATTTTCTTATGTTTACCATAGGATTACCCGGTGAATTCGCTGAACCAGGTGAACCTGGCCGCGCTGGTCTCGATGGTATGCCCGGTATTCCAGGACGTGCAGGACAAAAAGGAGCTCCTGGTGAATATGGTCCGAACGGACCTAAGGGAATCTCTGGTGACATAGGTCACAGTCTTCGTGGTCCTAAAGGAATGGTCGGAGAACCAGGTAACAATCATTATCGCATTTTCGACTTCTCTTCAAAGTTAATTAGGTAATAACAGAGCAAAATTAAAAAAATATTAACATTAATTAATATTTATTACTTTACATTTTGATCAGGTCTGCGAGGATTCGTCGGCTTCCCGGGTGCACCAGGTTTAGAAGGATTTCAAGGCTTCCCTGGAGTACCGGGACCGAAAGGTCTCCGTGGAGAACCGGGAATATCTGCAGATAGCGCTAAAGGACAACCTGGAGAACCTGGATGGCGTGGATTAGATGGTCGAACTGGACCGAAGGGAATGAGAGGTGACTCTGGTCTACCTGGTATTGATGGTTTGCCAGGACAGAAAGGAGAAAGAGGAGAAACCGGTGAAACTGGCCTTCCTGGGCTGCTTGGTCCTGAAGGACCAAAGGTAAGTTTTGAATCATATTTTTCACAATTTAGATATTACAGCTATCGATTTACTTGTTAGTTTTTTCCGTTTTTATTTTTAATAACAAAAATATTCTTATACAGATTTCTTTTAAATTTATTTATTTTAATTATTTTTTTTTATTTGTCCAAATATAACAATATTTTAAATAATTGAATAAAATCGAGGAACAAAACGTATGAGTTATTTTAAATATATGCTTATGAAAGGGACCGAAAGGAGAATTTGGCATAAATCCTTTCCCGCCGTTCCCGAGACGAGGATTCCCCGGTGATATAGGAGTACCCGGATTACCAGGTGTTATATATATTTCATTTTATAGAAAACTAGTAGTATATGCATATTTTTATTGAATAATGGAAGTATAATACCGCGTGTAATAAATATACAGGTTTCCCTGGACTACAGGGAATGATAGGTGAGCCTGGCAAAGACGGTCTGCCGGGTCGACAGGGTGAGACAGGAATGATTGGAATTCCTGGATTGCAAGGACCGGATGGTAAAGATGGACCTCCTGGATATCAAGGGCCTCCCGGACCTACGGGACGACAAGGACAACAAGGTATAATATATATTTCGTATTAAATATTAACATGATAATTTAATTCTCAAATTGAAGTAATATGTTAGTGTAACAATTTGCATTGTTTTAACTGTCGATTAAATAAGGAAACAATTATTTTTTCGCAGGTTTCCCCGGTGCACCTGGATTACCTGCGCCAAATGGAATTGGTCCAAGAGATAGAGGATTCTACTTTGCTCGTCACTCGCAATCCGAAATGATACCGGTCTGTCCAAGAAATACCGTAAAGATCTGGGAAGGATTTTCGTTATTGCACATCATGGGTAATGGACGAGCTTACGCGCAGGATCTTGGTAAACAATATATTTTTTATATGAACATTGTTTTTACAGAATATAATAAAATTTTAATCCGACTAACTACTAAGTTGTCAAAAAAGTTCTGAATCAACCATTAATTTTTACGTACAAATTTATTCAAAAACAACATTTTTTTCCTCATAATAAAGACTATCACATTCAATAATCATCATTCTGCTAATTGTCGAATTTGCTCCTGGTATTATTCGAGATACGAAGAACTCATGATAAGCTACCTCAACTTACTCAATAGTTTCGAATCCTCGCAAGAAATATTTCATTGAGCGAAACACCATATAATCAAATAATGCAAGATCAAAATCGTATACGGATATAATCGCAGTAGAATCTTAGTTTCATTTAAATTAATGGTATCAAATTCGACAACTAGCAGATTAATGGCGAATGATTTTTTAACATAATGCTTTATCTTGAAGAATAATTGTTTTTGAATAAATTTGTATATAAAAAGATGATTTATAGAACTTTCTAGTATTAGAAAGTTTTAAACAATGACAATCTAGTATTAGAAAAAAACTTAATGCAAGAAAAAAAATTTTTTAACAATTATTAAAACTTTTGACATTACAAGAACGTACATGATTTAAAAGTAATCTTTAATAAGAGTATAATGCAATTGATAAATCATGAAGTATAATACAATTCACAGGCGCTGCTGGTAGTTGCGTCAGGAAGTTCTCCACTATGCCTTTCCTGTTCTGTAATCTAAACAACGTGTGCGATTATGCCAATCGTAATGACTACAGTTACTGGCTTAGTACAACCGAGCCTATGCCGATGATGATGACACCAATACCGGCTCCAGAAGTTGGTAGATATATATCGAGATGTTCAGTGTGCGAAGCACCGACTAGGGTAATAGCCGTTCACAGTCAATCCATGACAATACCTGAGTGCCCGGGTGGCTGGGAAGAAATCTGGGTTGGATACAGTTTCCTCATGGTAAGATCGATTGTGTTACATTAATTTCAATATAGATAAGAATAAATGTAAAAAATATATAATAGTTAAGTGAATATTGAAGGTATTATCAATTAGTTTTATGTAATAATTTTATATAATTATAAAATTACAGCACAGAGATGCAGGTGCGGATGGTGGTGGTCAATCTCTAGTCTCGCCCGGATCCTGCTTAGAGGAATTCCGCGTCAGACCGTTCATTGAATGTCGTGGCCTTGGTAGTTGTAATTATTTCGCTACGGCGACATCGTACTGGCTAGCGACCATTCATGACGACGAAATGTTCCGTAAACCGCTGCAACAGACGCTCAAAGCCGATCATACGTCCCGAGTGAGTCGCTGCACAGTGTGCCTCCGCCGAAGGGTCACCGAGGTTTTAAAGCCTTTCACGTCCAACAACGAACGAGCCCCCAATAATTGGGGCGTTGCTCCACCAGCACCACCACCTCGTAATCTACCGCCTGACTACGAGTCCTCCAGAATACCGCCTAATCCGTGGGCTACCCATACTCGAGGAAGATATTCGAACAGACGCGTACCCCATCACCAACGCAGGAGGGGTCGCGTACGCGGCAGGCACTGGGAATCGGCAGAGTCTTTAAACAACGTGTAGGCGAAGCATAAATCGCGCATATATTCAGCGGCATCAGTGACGTGCAAAGGGCGTAACAAGCCTATGTATATAAAAAAGCAAGAAAAACTATTTTATTCTATTAGTTAAGTTATATCGGCTGGATGCCTTAGTTCGTAGACCTTGCATTGAGTAGAAAACGCGGACGAACGTTCAAGAATTACATAAAGACTCGAGATTATGTAAACAACATGCAGATAGTTCAGGTCTATTTAAGCTGTTTGGAAAAGAAATTGTATGAATAAACCCCCCGGCCCCCCCCCCTTTTTAAGTCACAGACCATTGAAATTGAAGTATTGGATATGAAACGCAACTTTGATAAATTTCTCGATTTATCATTTCTCCCTCGGAAGTCTCAACATGAAAGAAGAGTTGCTTGTCAAAGTGGCTGCTGTTGAATCAAGACCTGGATTGCTGCTTATCTGAAAATCCTCATTCAGGACCCTTCTATCGCTCTTGGGAACTCATCGCTATATTCATTCCCACCCTGTGCAGGTCTACGACCCATTCTCCCGGCCATCTCGTCTCTTCCTGCGCGCACGATAAAAAGCGCCGCCGGCTGCCGTAAAGCCATATAACTGCCTTATGCCAAATAGAAAAAGAATCTGTCGCGTCCGGCTATCGCGAAACTGCCAATAACGTTGCGTTTGCCGATGCGATTTACGGGAATCACACTACGATAATTAAATTAACATTATGTATATTGTATTGCTATCGTAACTATTATCTATGTATTTCGCATTGAATAAAGATCCTTTTGTATAAGCTAATTGACGTTTTTCCGGTTATCTTTCTTCCATTTATCTCGAATTATAAATTTCATATAACGCAAGAGAATAAATAATAATAAATTAAAAAACGCTGTTAATAGTTAATTGATTAATTAATTAGGTTAAACTTTTCTGCTTGAAAAGAACAGCAAAAAAATTGAGTTTGATTGTTTCATCTACAGTATTTTACATTTTACAATTTCCCGCCACCATTTACAAAATAAAACGCAAAAGGAAGTTGTTTGGAAAATATAAAACATTGTTTCTTTAAATAAATTTCAATTTAAACAAAATTATAGTCGTGTGTAACTTAAAAATTTTGTCTACTTGATGAGTGCAACAAAAAAGATTGAGTTTCATTGTTCCATCGGTAGTATTTTATATGACAATTTATTTCTCGTTATCATCTACAAAATAAAACGTAGAAAGAAATTCGTTTGGAAGATATAAAACATATTGTTTCCTTAAATAAATAAATTTTAATTTAAATAAAATCAATTCCTATTTTCGGTGAATAAAAAATAAGAGTATATCTTAGTTTTAGACTACATCTAAAAATAATATCACGCAAAGCTCTTGAGCGAAGGCAGAAACTGGAAGCGATATAAATGAGGAGAAGAAGGGAGAATGCCAGGAGGGGGGGGATACTTTACGTGTTCGCGGAACGCTTAAAAGAATCAACTGAAATGAAGCAAGAACACTGAAATCATTTGACAGTTTAATAAAAGGCGAACGGGCCTTTTCCAGGACACGCGAAGTTCACATACAAGCTCGTCGTACGAAATGAACGTACACGGTGAGAGATCGATATTATATTTATATTTATAAAATTATTCATCATTAGAAAGCACATATGATCTATCTATATGACGTAATTTGCTACGCACACCCGCGTACGAGCGTGCCTACGAACAACGCACGCCTCCACACGCACACACGCATACACACTGCACGCCTAAACGCAACGACGTTTCCATCTCGCACCCTGGCATAAGCATGCACACGCGCGGACATACACAAACATGTACGTGCATACTAATCTCGTTCTTTCTCTCTTTCTCTCCCCCCCTCTCTCTCTCTCGCTCGCTCGCTCGCTCGCTCGCTCGCTCGCTCGCTCTCTTTCATTCTATCTCTCTCGTACGCGTAATATACGTATCCGCGTTCACAGGCAAGTACATGCCTATGTATGTACGTGTACATATTCAGAGTACCTCACGTTGTGTTTTTTCTTTTTTTTTTTATGGAGATTACAACTTTGTAACTGCTTTCAATTGGAAGAAAAAGCAATAGGGGGCCAGCAGGCCAAGTATTAATGTCATCACAGTATCAACACCATCCTTATCGTTATCATCAATCTATCTCATCATTATTCTCGTTATCATCACCGTCGTCGTTATACTTGTTTCCTCGCGCCACGGACAAAAAATTTCGTGTTTCGTATTATAGAAAATAAAAAGAAATAACAATAACGTACGTACAAATATCTATAAGTTTTTTAGGTAAAACACGCAACAAACAAATCCGAATACGTTGCTTTTCATTATGTACATCACGCGATGGCTCAAACACTAAACGATATAAGCTAATTTCCATTAAATAATTCAAAAAAAAAACTTATAAAACGCGAATCCCTTTTCCTTTCGATAAAAAAACTAATTTCGAAATTTAAAAAAACCACAAGACGGACGCATAACAATATAAATATAATAATACACGCCAAATAAACACTAGAATTGCAACGTCCGCGTCCGTCGAAATCACATTTATAAATCACGGTCAACATGGAAAAGAGAGACGGTTTTCTCATGCGAATCATTAATTTTGCAATTAAAACAAAATTCCGTCGATGCTAAAGAAAACTCGCCGACGTTCTATTCGCTTATCTCAGACCGAAAGCCCATCATTATCATCACACACATTCAAAACCTCTAGTAGCGATTTCTTCCAACTTTTAATAAGTGGTGAACTTCCTGGAAAAATAAGACACTTGCGTGAGATTTCTTTCATATGTATGTGTACACGCGTATACACACACACGTGCGCGCGCATAGCATCGTGTGCATATACACGTGTAGGTGTAATTAGATTTCCTCTTTTCTCATTTATATAACAACAGATGTCATTTAGAAGTAATTTAGTGTGCATCTAAGACCCAAAAGAGAATCATTACCGAGCTATGCAAAATAGAAGATCGATTTCCCTCTTTTTTTCTTTCTTTCTCCATCTCGCATGTATAGATATATAAATATACGTCAATTTATATATCGATTATACATAAATAATGTCCGCATCTATTATTTATATATAACGCGTACATAAACCCACTATACATATATATATACATATACATTTATACAATATATTTATATTTATATTTATATAAAGGTACTCTTACTATTGAATAGAAATATGAATATTCCAAGTGTTCAATAATATCAATATTGATATATATAATAAAATAATATAATTATTCTTATTATTATAATAATATAGCAATTGCAACAAGAATATTGGTAATAGTGATAATAATAATGTCGATGATGATAATAATAATAATATTAATAATATAATAAAATAAAATAAAATAATTAATAGTTATTACAATATAATAATATTACAATATAATATTATAATCATATTAACAACAACAAGTATTCTTTGTCACATTTTGGTTGCAGATTCTTACAATCACAAATATATTATCCATAAATGTAATAGTCGAAAAAGGATGTTAAATTAAGAAGAATACGTGAATAGAGTGCTCTATTTCTTTCTTTTTTTCATCTGTGTATAGAATAATTAAATCCTATAAATAGTATCTATGTTCAACAGCCAGTGGTATAGTAAAGTATACCTTTTTTTGAGGTACCTATATATAGTTTCCTCTCCTTTTTTTTCCCGCTCTTGTGATATACCAAATACAATACTGACGGAGAACGCGATACACACGCACACGCGCAAGCATTAACACATACATACACATACATACACACAGGTATCGACAGGTAAAATGCGGATGTGGGTTCATCGTATGCTTGTGATCGTCACAGCGTAATATACGATACGACATAAATCTTCGGTCATCCGAAGCCGAGACGAGAGCTTGAGAGAAAGACTCTTTCCTCAACAAACAAAACAAAAAAAGGAAAAAACATAAAAAGCGACGGGAACGAACGCCGCGAATCGATTCTCTCCGTGCCGCGATACGACGCGACCTCGATACTCCTGGCGAATCGCATGCTCAGCCAGGAAATCTTCACACAGCCAAACAAAAACTAAAACTTTTGGTCCTTCAAGTTCGAAAAGTAAAAAAGAAAGGGAATAGGTCCCGCCGTTTCCCCCTTTTTCTATCTCTCTTTTTCTTTCTATTTCTATCTTTCTATTTCTCTTTTTTTCCCTATCTCTATCTTTACATCTCTCATTTTCTCTCTATATCTATCTTTCTATTTCTCACACTTCTCTTCTCTTCTCTCTCTCTCTCTCTCTCTCTCTCTCTCTCTCTCTCGCTCTCGCTCGTCCTTTTTTCCTCAGCTGATCGACGGGCAACATTCTAGAGAGCACCGCGCGCTAGTTTTGCATTGTATTTGGTGATACGTATATGAATACTGACTCCGTGTGTGACGTTACATATAATACAATAGTATCCATTACGTATAAGTGTATATGCATTTTATAACACTTTCTCACACATTTTCTCCTCTTTTTTTCGCACTCTTGCTCTCTTCCGCGTTTTATATACGTCCTATATATCTCCGTTCCGCTCTCTGCATACTCAAAAATATATTACATATAACTCTTTACTGCATGACGGGATAGTGGCCTGCAGTCACTCGGACTGCAGTAGCTTCTGCAGCAATGATGATTTCGTCGGATCACCTCGTGCCTCCTCCATAGTAATCTGAAATCAAAAGGCGTTCTTAGAACTGCTTTCGCTATTTCTGATATAAAGATTTCGAAACCGATCGCGAAGAGTATATACTTATAGAGTAACAAAACAGTTGCAAATATTACAAGATATTAAAAATGGTTTTTTTGGCATTAAGATTTAAATCTCTGGCATCAAAGTACCTTTGACTTTGGTATTTAAAAAAAAAATTATAAGCTTAATTAAATGATAAAATAATATAAATCGGGTATTATGGGACCAGAAATTGTTTAATAAAATTGAATCCGTCGAAATTAAGGATCTACGATACAGGAAATTTGTGAAATTAAGATTTAAAAAAACGAAGAATTTACAATAATGTTATGCGGAATAATATAGATTCACAATGATGCTTTTGTAATTAAGGATTTATGACACTAAGTCCGTATCAAAAATGTGTGAATTTAGGAATATGTGCGTATAAGAATCAGCAAAACTAATTATTTAAAATAATCTTTAAAACCAAAGATCCGTAAAACCAAGAGTTTACAGTATAAAAATTGAAAATCGAGAAATCAAGAATTTGCATCAAAAGATTTAAGATTTTAAGGATTCGTGAAATTAAGGTTCCCTACAAATCCAATATGTGTGAAACAAAGGATCAAAGGGCTCAATAAGGAATAATGTCTCTACAGTGAACATTTCTCCGACAATCGGTTTGAAATCACTTTGATGACTGACAATCTATTGCAATATTTCCATCGTATAAGATTCGAATATTAATCTCAAATATTTTCAAGTAGCAGAGCATTAATGGTACAGCCGTGTCTCGTATATTTAGTATTCGCATATACATGTTTATGGAATAATTGTTCAGAATTTGGTAAGATGGAAAGAATTCACCTATTTGAAATTCAGTCTTTATTATTCAGATGTGTGAATCCTTTCAATAGTTATGTCCAAACAATGATTCGCCCTAATAAACTTAAAGAACAGAAATCTGAAGCCACATAGCAACTACACATCCAATATCTCAATGCAGAACAATGATCGCTACTGTAAAATCTTTCAAACGAAATATATGTACTCCGCCTTTAATTGCCAATTGAATATTTTTTACTTCACGATCGGCAGAAGCATAACACAAAAGACTTTCTCGCTTTTACTAAATAGATTCAGTAACAATTAT